CCCCCCGCCCGGGTTTTGGGATCCAGCCCCCGGTGCCGGAGGGGCCGCGGGGATAATCCCGGATCATCCCGCCCTGGCTGCTCTCCACGGGGAAGCCCCGGGGCTGTTGATCCACCGGGACTTCCCTTTCCCAGGAATTGCAGCGCCCTGGGCCGGTGCCACCGGGGGGTCCGGGGAGCGGCCAGGATGGGGACAGCGACAGCCCGGGGACAAAGGGACCGTGGTCCCTTCTTCCCGGGGTCTTTGGGCTCCTTCCCGGGGTCCTGGGGCTCCTTCCCGGGGTCTTCAGACTCCTTCCCGGGGTCTTGGGGCTCCTTCCCGGGGTCTTTGGGCTCCTTCCCGGGGTCTTTGGGCTTCTTCCCGGGGTTCTGGGGCTCCTTCCCGGGGTCTTGGGGCTCTTTCCCGGGGTCTTTGGGCTCCTTCCCGGGATCCCGGGGCCGGGCAGGGACCCCCCTAACAGCTCCAGGCACGGACACAGCCACCGCCATCCCTTTGGGGACTTTATTGTGTCCCCACCTCAGTGTGACCGACGTGGCCAAAGCGCGAGTGACACCCCCAAGGGCTGGGGACATGTCCCCGCTGCAGGCCCCGAGCCACGGGGCTGGGGGGAACGAGCCAAAAATGAGGCAAAATCCTGAGTGCGGAGGTTTTCCTGTGCCGAACACACACACACGTGTCACACGCGTGTCCCAGACGTCCGTGGGGACACCCGGCCGAGGCTCCACGTCCTCCTGAGGTGGCCTCAGGTCACCCGCGGGGGGTGGAGGGGCCGGGCCGGCGGTCCCGGGGGTCCCGGGGGTCTCGGGGGTGGGAGCGGATCCTCCCCGGAGGAGCCCGCGGGTGGGGGACACGGAGGGGACGCACCGGGCAGCCCCTGCCCCCCTCAGGAGCCCCCAAATTCACTCCTTGGGGTCCTGGAGGGACCTGGAAAGACCTGGAAGGACCTGGAAGGATGGGGGGAGCGGGCTGCTCCCTCTGGGGCATCATCATCTTCATCATCATCCTCCTCCTCCTCGCTCAGCACCTGCCGGGGGCGGTGGGTGCGGGGCTGAGCGTGTCCCGGTGCGGTGACAAAGCCGTGTCACCTCCCCCGCGTGTCCCTCGTGTCCCCACGCGTGACCCGGCCCGGTCTGTGCGTGTCTGGGGGGGAGGGGGGGGGGGGATGTGACCCGGCTCCCCCCGGGCCCGGCTCCGCCCGAGGCTCTGAATCATTTAAACCTTAAAAGCCTGGGAAGCTCCGGGGACATTTCCCGCTCCAGCTCCTTCCCCGAGCCAGCCGGGGGGGGGCCTTCATCCTCCTCCTCCTCCTCACCTCCTCCTCCTCCTCCTTCAGCTCCAAGGACTCCGCCGCTCCTCGGGGGGCGAGGGGACCTTCTCGGGGGGCTGCAGGCTGGACTCGCCCTGGGGTCCCCCAGGTGCCCCCCACCCTGGGCACGGTGACATCGCCCCCCGGGGCAGCGGGGTCCGGCCGCGGGTCCCTCGTGTCCACCTGAGCCCCCCCAGGTCCTTCCCGGGCCCCCCGAGTCCTTCCCGAGCCCCCCGAGTCCTTCCCGAGCCCCCCGGGTCCTTCCTGAGCCCCCCCAGGTAATTCCCGGCCCCCCCCAGGTCATTCCCGAGCCCCCCGGGTCCTTCCTGATCCCCCCAGGTCCTTCCTGATCCCCCCGGGTCCTTCCCGAGCCCCCCCGGACCGAGGGTCGCCCCCGGGCCCCCCGCGGGATGTCCCCGTCCCCCCCCCCGTGGTGTCACAGCGAGGACACCGCGCTCTTCAGGCGCTCCCCGGGGGGTGTCGAGGATGTCGCGATAGGGCCGGGGGGGCCCCGTGCGCTGCGGGGGGGTCCCCGACACGTGGGAGCGGAGGCGGGAGGAAGCGTCGGCCGTGGCAGGCAGGGCCCGGAGCTGCTGGAAGCGACCTGGGGGTGACACGGGGGGGTCACGGGGGGAGGGGGGGGCTCAGGAGGGGTACCCCCAGCTCCCGCCAGGGGAAACTGAGGCACGGGAGACATTTCCCACCCCCCAATAGGAGCAGCAGGTGCCCTCCCCACCCCAGCCGGATAATCCCCCAGTTCCCTCCTGGGGAAACTGAGGCACGGGGGTGTTTCCCGTCCCCCCAGGAGGGTCGGGGACAGAGGGGACAGAGGGGACAGCGGTGGCACGCACTGGCCAGCACCAGGCCGGGCTCCTCCATCTCCCGGCGCCGCAGCTGGGCCCGCAGGAACAGCCCCAGGTCGATGCCGCTGGCGCGGGATGGGGCCGAGAAGAAGCGGGGGGGGACCCGGGACGCGACCCCCGGGTCGCTCCCCACGAAGCCGAGGCTGTGCAGGATCTCCTCGGGGTCCGGCTGGAACCGGGACAGACGCACGGACAGGCTGCGGGAGGGGACAGAGCCCGCCTCAGCCCCGCGGGGACACCGGGGGGACACCGGGGGGACATCGGGGGGACATCGAGGGGGGACATCGAAGGGACACCAAGGGGACACTGGAGGGACATCGAGGGGACATCGAGGGGACATTGAGCCACTGCCTGGAATTGGAGGGGACACTGGAGGGGACACGAGGGGACATTGGAGGGGACATGAGGGGACACGAGGGGACACTGCAGGGGACACCGGAGGCCGTGCTGTCCCCAGGGCTCAGGAGCCGGTCCCTCTGAGCCCTGCGTGGGGAGGGGACACTGCCAGCAGGACACATGGGGACAGTGTCCCCCGCCCCGCCGGCCTCCCCCGGGATCTCGGGAGTGGCATCAGCGCAGGGTGACAGGGGACAGCACTCACCTCACGGCCACCGAGCTGCCACCCCTGGCCCCACATCCATTCTGACGGGTCCCCAAGGAGCTGGAATTCCCAGGAGCTGGATCCTCCAGGATCTGGGATCTCCAGGATCTGGGATCTCCAGAATCTGGATCCCCCAGGATCTGGGATCCCCCAGGGTTTGTGTCCCCGGGGCCAGGTCCCACAAGTGACAGTGACCGGGAGCTCCGGGCGCTGCCCCAGCCGGGATCCCGTCAAAAAAGGCAAGGAAGCTCCGGGCCGGGAGCGCCGCGCCCGCTCCGCCGGGATATTTTTAGCCCGGGAGTGTTTGTGGATAAAGCCCCGAATTAAGCGTTCCCTCAGCCCGGCCCGGGCGGGGGGGCCGGGAACCGGGAAGGACGGGAAAGCCCCCGGGAAGGACAGGAAAACCCTCGGGAAGGACGGGAATATCCCCGGGAAGGACGGGAAAACACCCGGGAAGATGGACAGATCCCTCGGAAGGGACGGACACAAGTCCGGGAAGGGATGGACACGAGCCTGGACAGATCCCTCCGGCCTCGCCCCTCTCTGGCCTCGCTGCGGGGTCACATCCCGCACACGGCTGTCCCCAAGGATGTCCCCAAGGATGTCCCCAGGGATGTCCCCGGGCCGAGGGACCCGCAACGCCAGCGGGGCCTGGATATTGAAATTCCCTGCCGGCCGCCGGGGGGGCTCCCAGCTCCCCCCTCAATCCCATTCCCACCCCACCATTCCCTCGGGAAGCGCGGGGGGGCTGCGGGGGGAGCCTCGGGTGGGGCTCGGGGGAAGGGGAGGGGGGGCACGGCCGCTCCTCCCCAGCTTTTCCCACCCACAATTCCCGGGATCCTGGGGATGGGGCTGGGGGTCTCACTCCCCCATGGGTTTTGGGGGGGGGGGCGTCCAGCTGCTTTCCCCACCCCCCCTCTCAGAGGTGAGGACCACCCCTCCCCCAGAGCCCCCAGCACTTTTATCCCGGCACTTACGGGATGCCCGACCCCCCCTCCCAGCACTGGGACACCGGGACCCCCCCCCCGGGACCCCCGGAGGTGGCGGGGGGCACAGCGGGGGCACGGCGAGGCTCGGGAGGCCCCCCCAGGCCCCCCCCCCAAGGCCTGACCTACTTAGCGGATTCCTGCCGGCAGATCCCGGCTCCATGAATAAGTGATGGGACACGCACTCATGGCTGCGGTGGGGGGGGGCACCCGGCCCCGCGACCACCCCCGGCCCT